TGTCCTGTCACTGACTGACAAATGAAAAGGATGGACAGCTTCATTTCCTCTGTTTTTGTCTTTTCTTTGAAACACAGTCGGGCTAAATGAAGGAAAGACTGACGCAATAGAAATGGCTGCATCTAAAAACCAAGCGTCTGTCCACACCACCGTGTGCAGCATGCAGTGTTGGGAAGGTTACTTTTAAAATGTATTCCATTACAGAGTACAGAATACATGCCCCAAAATGTATTCTGTAACGTATTCCGTTACGTTACTCAATGAGAGTAACGTATTCTGAATACTTTGGATTACTTAATATATTATCGTGCTTTTTACAACAACGTGAATGTACTATTGCTGTGTGATTTATTACTGTTACTGAAGGTCCGCGACTCCAAACTGTAGTAAAGGGACCTCTGACTAATACGGCGGGGTCCCTGTCGGCTCGTAGCCGAAAAATAGCTTTACTTTGTTGTGTGGGTCAACTTTGCTAGCGAGAGACAGAGAGAGGCGTTGAAAGGCTCCAACAGAACTTATTGTTTTCGGAGGAAAACACGAACACGGTGTACAGTCGAGTCTTAATAGCTTACTTACAACTGGGCTCGTCAGGCTCTCTTCTTGGCTGCAGTGGTTATTATTATATTTACATGCTTCCAGCTCCCGTTTTTCCTCGATGACAACTCGTACCTTTCCACTCCCCTTTTTCTCCCTCCTCGCACTCACAGACCCATAACGTGTATTCTTTAGAGCTATGCTTGTAGCATTCTGCCTGTTAGCTTAGCACAACAACAACAACGAAAAGGCGCTCTCTCACCCAGGAAACACGCAGTCGCAGAAAGAGAGAGAGAGCGTCGCCCTGTAACCATGGCAACCGTAACGCTGCCGCCTGGAACGAAAGAACGTAGCTGTCAAACAAAACCCAAACAGTCCTGACCCGCGACAAAATGAAACAGGAAAGTACCGCAGTGTAATCCATTTATTTCAACAAAGTAACTGTATTCTGAATACCACCTTTTTAAACGGTAACTGTAACGGAATACAGTTACTCATATTTTGTATTCTAAATACGTAACAGCGGTACATGTATTCCGTTACTCCCCAACACTGGCAGCATGACGCATTAAGCAGCTGTCCCACAGAAAATCTGTCAGCTGAGCTTCAGCAGCTCAACGTTAGCTTGTTCGTCCTAAAAATGTACATAAAATGTGACCTTTAAAAAGAAACCTAAATGTAACCGTTTGAGTTGCATATTCCACATCTGGATTTTATTTTATTTACTGATTTATTTTTACATTTGCAAAAAATGCAACAATTAACATTTTTTTTAATTAAAAAAAGGGGTTAAGACAGCTTGTTTCAGAGCACCGTAAGGTAATTGGGGATTATTTTGAACTTGAAATGCATGGCTCTAAATGAGTGTAATGACTCTGATCAGTCACTCCCCCCACACATCGATTTTGAACGCTGTGGGAAAGGGAGACGGCGTGAAGAGAAGGAACGATTGCATGAAAACTGTCCGTGTGTGTGTCCAGTCTTCTTTTTCCTTAGACAGAACAAACCCCAGCAGACGGTGCACCTGCATGTGTATAGAAACGTCACGTGTGTATTTGTGTGTGTGTTTCCTAGACACCGGCGTCTGGCCTTAATGAGGCAGGTTAGCATCCGAGACAACTGCTGCACGCTGTGTTGTGACGTCATGGCCGACACAGAGCTGCGGCCCTGTGGACATGGGTATGTGTTCTTCTGCTGTCAATAAAACGTCTGTGAAACTCAAGTTCATTTTTGTTCACTCCTTAAACAGGAACAATCTGACTTTGTCCCGTCTCTTTTCCCCAGTGGTATGTGTATGGAGTGTGCCTTACAGTTAGAGACGTGCCCCCTCTGCCGCCACGACATCCAGACCCGCGTCAGACTCATTGCACACGTCTCCTGACACACTTCCTGCGCTCGCTCCAGTAAACGGAGGCACACAAGCCCTTTAGCTTCCTCCTCCTCCTCTAATCCCTCTTACCCCACAGGGCTGCGAGGACGTTGCCACAGTGTGGCGATGATGGCAGAACGCTGAATTCTGGTCAGACGAGATGGCGGCAATGGAGGGGTGGATAGATGAAAGAAAGGAGATGAGAGGAGGGGCAAAAAACCGACAGCTGGAACCCCCAGGAGCTTTTCCTCGTCTATCTACATCTCCTCTTTTATATCCTTCTGACAACTCGCTGCAGAAGCTGGGCCAAGAAAACTTTCTACTTTTTTTTTTCCAAATAAAAGCGCAGAGACTGTGTAACTCGGCTACAGACAGAACAGAGTTCTTATCTCCAGGCCCGTGTAAAGCTATTTAAAAACAAAGAACCTTTCCATCACGAGGACCCCACTTGTGCTTTCAGTCCTGAGGCTGCTACTATTTAACCCCATCGCCGTCATGCACACGTCTGCAGACGTGACAGGGCTTGGTCACAGAGGAAAACGCAGCCTGTAGTACAGTATTAAACCGAAGGTACAAACTTGAAATGTGTCTTACTTTCTTTTTTTGCTTACAGATGCGTGAGTGATTGTGTTCTCACTGTAGCATTTTCATTTTCTCCAACACTCAAACCCTGGGCAGCTTTCCCGTCTGTACTGATCGATCACCCAGTAGGAGGTTTTTCATTCTATTGTTGGCTAAAATCTCAGATTCTACTCTGTCTAATTGACTTTAATCGCTTGAGTTCAATTTTCTGATTAAGTTTACAAAGCAAATCACAAAAGAAAGTAAATGGCAGAAATAACGTGTTTCTGTCTGAATAAGAACTGATTGATTTGACCCTCCCTTTTGTGCTTTACTCGTTTATAAAGCAACCACAGAATGTGGGGATTAAAATTTACATTAAAGTCACATACAAGTGATCGCAGTCAGGTTTCTTCCTCCCGGTTATAAATGCACATTTTAAAGAACCAGTGTAAGGGAAGTGTGTACTCGCACCACCACACACTGTAAAACTTGATTAGTGCCAACAGTTGGGGAACAGGGGTCGAGCTTGTCTGAGAGGCTGTTTGATTTTTGGTTTGTGATGACAAACCTGACACTTTTCAGTCCACAAAAAGAGTTTTTAGTTGGTCACTTAAAATGAGGCTGAACGCTGATGTTGGCTCACGAGCTGAGCGGTGAATTGCAGGAGGAAATGTGGATTGATCGTTCACGTGCTGCACGTCACAGCGCTGCTGGTGATCTTGTGTTAAAAGCAAAGTTTGTCAGAAGTGCTCAGGCTGAGTAAAAACGCGGGTTCTGTACAACTCCTGCTCCCTTTTCTTCATCTTCCCTCTTCTTGTCTTTTGCCTTGTGTTTGTCTTTCTGTCCATCCTTTACTTGAAGCATCTCTGGGTTGACTGAATTATGTTTGTATTTTGGAAACAGGTGACAAAATTAATCGTACGTTAAATCATAATTCAGTAAAATTGTATTGTACAATTTTAAAACGCCCAATGGCATTTCAAATGACAGCAATTTTACATATATCCTGTTCTTATAGTTTCTGAAGGAGTTGATGCTTCATGCTGCATGAACAAAATCAGTAAAATCATTCACACGATACTAGAACGGTTTATGACAACAGCAGAATCTCTCGGTATGACAAAAGACCGGTATGGTCGTTGTTTGCTATGTTGTAGTTTCCTGGAGCACCTTATCCATGGAGGTGAGAGGTGAATTTTGTGTGTGTGTGTGTGTGTGTGTGTGTGTGTGTGTGTGTGTGTGTGTGTGTGTGTGTGTGTGTGTGTGTGTGTGTGTGTGTGTGTGTGTGTGTGTGTGTGTGAGAGAGAGAATGTATTTAAAACATCTGTAAAGGAAAATCTCCCCGAGTTCCCAAAGATGTGATTTATTGAAGAATTGTTTCCTGGATTGTGACATTTGTAATAAATGTATGTTCATGTGATTCTTTGTGTGACTCCTGCTACAAAACCAAACTATTGATACACTCACTGATCATTTTACCCACTGGCCTGTGAAATGTGGACATTTTTAAACACACACAGCAACTCTTTAAGTAACAGCTGATCTCCATCTCCTCTGGATATTAGTCAGGGATCTATTGCTATGTTTTTGTCTCTTGGTGTGTTGGTAATTTATCACAAAGAATTACAGTGCAGAAAACACTGGGCACTGTCTCAGGCTCACATGAAGCCCGATGCACTCAGGACAGATGTGTCAGGGGAAAAGTGACACAGCAAAACAGTTTAAACGTTATTTTGTATTTAATAACTCCTTTTGGAAAGTCCTAATCCTGCTTGGTATGATAATAACCTACGAAGTCGGATTTGGCATAAAAATGTACATGAAGTACTTTAAATATAATACGTTATGCTACAGGATAATTACAGATTCGTTAATACCTCACGTTAATGTTGCAGCTGAAGATGATTTTAATTACTTTTACATAATATTACCGATATTAATACGACCTTTTAGATTTCGATTTTAAATTTGCAATAATATCAATAATAAAACTTTAATTGATACTTTAAAATAAAAGTTATGGTCGATCCACCGTCTCATTCACTCTTGTGGCACGAACAAAAGAAGTATATGATCTCCGATTTTCAGCGCTTCTGATGGACGTCAGGCAGCATCTGAGTTATACGTATTTCCTTTTTGCATCTTTAAGCTCCAACAATCATCTGGTTCCGCTAAAACAGGCTAATGATCGTCTGTAGGTGACGGTTTAAAAGTAACAGGCCTGATGGAAGAAACGTGAATCGTCCTCATGGCGAATGATTTGGTGAACAAACAAGTGTAATCTGCAAAATTCGTGAACATTTTGATGTATAATATTAGTAGTAGTACCAGCTGTTTCCCTTCCAGATAAATGTGGTCTTGTTTCGAATGTGGGAACCGATATACGGTAGTTTTTGTTTTACCCGACGGAGCACGAAGGCGCACAAAGTTCACTCGTTTCCTTGGTAACAGGATTACGTACGCTAGTGAGCAGTTTAGCCGACATGGACATCAGGGAGCGGGTGAGTTAAACACGTCACGACACTTCTGTAAATGAACTTTTTCACTTATGAGAAATGGCGGCAATTTAACGCCGCGTGCGTCTTTGATTAGCCGCCTCGGCTAACTGACGTTGCTCGCGCGGGGACTCTGATGAGAGCAAGTAACGGAAACACACTTCAGAGCCGATGTTGCGTTTGTTGTGAACGTTAGCGCTGGCTACCTGCCTGTTTTATCTTACAGGTGTTAGCAGAAGGGCAGTGCTCACCTGTGTGCTCGCTTTATCTTCTCAGAAATCCGGAGTAGTGGAGACAACATGGTAAACGTGTTCGATACGGACGAGGAGCACTTTGCTATTTCCAGGTGGGTTGTTGTGAAACGCTTTCTAACCGTCTGCAGGAAGCTGACGTCCTGTTTTAAGTCAGATTTGATGCACTCATCGTGGGCATGAATATCAGGGTAATTTTGGGCTTTTTAGCGATTTCTCACTTTTTCCAGGGTGGAGTGATTGTACAGCAAACATGTTTAACGGGTGCAAAAGTTCAGAGTCATTTGGGATTTTCTCTTGCTGTGTAAAATCCACCACAGAGCAGGAACTCGTGGAGTTTGTGCTGATTTCTCTCACTTCTCTCCCTTCAGTTCCTCGGCTGCAGACACGGCCTTCGATGGAGTTATTGGCTGCATAGAGGACATCATCATGGGTAGGTTCACTGACAGTGCCACCAGTTAGTGATGAACACGCGCTTTCTACATGTCCACTGCTTCTCTTTCAGAGGACGACTTCCAGCAGATTCAGCAGATTTTCATGGAGAAACATTACCGTGAGTTTGATGACTCTGATGAGAACAAGCTCAGCTACACGCCCATCTTTAATGAATATGTAAGTGTGGGCAGATTTCACTCTCACAGTCATACAGAGATGTTCAGTTTTTACAAATACGTTGACTTAAAGCAGAATCTTGGCTGTTATTTAGGTTGACCTGCTGGAAAAATACCTGGAGCAGCAGCTGATGGAGAGAATTCCCGGCTTCAGCATGGACACCTTTAAAGAGTTACTCATGTAAGATGTGACAGAAGTGGAACCTGAACTGAAAGCAGCCCATGTGTCAGTTATGTTGTGTTGCTCGTAAGAAATGTTATTTTGCAATAGACCACAAGGTGGCACACAAGTACACTGAAAAAGTGACGAGTTTATCTCCTTCCTCTGCAGGCAGCACAAGGAGGAAGTGTCAGGTGACATCTTTGACATGTTGCTGACGTTCACTGACTTCATGGCTTTCAAGGAGATGTTTCTGCAATATAGAGCTGTGAGTTTTCTGTGAGCTGGAGAATAACTATAAAAGTGGCCCCATTTAAATAACAGGGCAGCTGTGACACGTGGCTCTTTGTTATGAAGTTTTGAACCGTGTGTGTGTGTGTGTGTGTGTGTGTGTGTGTGTGTGTGGTACTGTACATTAATGCTGAATGTATTTGTGTGTTTCTAGGAAAAGGAGGGCCGGTGTCCAGACCTGAGTCAGGGACTGGTGGTCACATCTCTGAACCTTGGAGGCTCCAAGCATGCTGACTTTAATGAATCTCAGTGAATCTCTGGAAAATTGTTCCAGGGCCTTAATGAAAGTGTTCGATTCAGAGTCTTTTAACGTAAATCTTCCGTCTGTAACGGATAATTTATATTTGTTTCTCTGCGTTTTATGTAGAGGGGTCAGTGGAAGAGCCTCTGTGTCTGTTTGCCATGAAAGTTTGAAGGTTTTGCCCACTTTCTGTTAACAATCACTCGACTGCATGTGACTCCTTGAAAAGTTAATATTTCTTCAACTGTAATTCACATTTTCATGCTTTCACTCGTGTGCAGTGATTCTGTTTAGCTTTTACTGGTACGGCCTGTTTGAAACAGGAAGTCGAGTATTTCTGTCCCTGTGCTGTGAAACAAACATGCTTCGTTTTCAGAAAGTAGTAAAGTAGAACTAATATATGTTTCATGGACATATAAATTATATTAACAGTGTTTAAGTTTCGAACTTGTCAAAGTGACGTTTAATGTAAAATGATTGTGTGTGTCTGCAGTTAGTTTTTGGTACAAATTGTTTTTACGTGTTTAGAAATGTTTCATTTTCCAAGTATATTTATTTCTCCGGTGAAATGCTGTTGTTGTTACGATTGTCTGTAAAAAACAAACAAACACAAAACGATATTTTCAAATAAGCACAAAAGAAAAACCTCAGTCGTTTATTTGAAGTGTGTAGCTGAGCTCTAGCACTCAGCGCAGGATTTCACCAACGTCCAAACTCTTGGTACAAAAGACTCGCGTGGTTCATAAAGGCACGTACAGTACAGCAGGAGAGGAGCAGACTTTCACTTAAATCACACAAAAACAGTGTTCCACGCCTGTGGATCGATATTTGAATCATGCAGAAATATCCAGTGTCAGTGTGTCAGCATCATGATTTTTTTCTTACAGGTGCATTATGGGCGGTTTTATTGCTAAAAGGCTCTGTTAGGCCCAGTAAACCCAAACTGTGAAGCCAACTTTCAGCGGTTTCATCCTCCTCTTCTTGTTGGTAGATGCAGAATGCAGCAGAGAACTGCCCAAAGCTGGAGGTCGAGATCTGCGGTCCTCCCTTAGCTAACAGGTTTTTCCACTGGTGATCTCAGACTAACCAAACAACCCTCCACTGTAGTTGGCACATGCAGCCTGTGCTTATTTTTCTTTTAATGCTGCTCACACTTTCAGATTTTGTTCAATTATTACTGAAATTTATAACTTTATGTACATAATGATTCAAGTGTATTTTTAATGCAATCTAGGATTATTACATTTCGTAGTAGTAATACAGTATATTTACTGTATTACTGGGATGGCTAAAACAATAAACCACCTGGAACAGATTTCATCTCGTGGTTATTATCAGGGTTTGCCTCAGTCAGGATCTGAGTTTTGTGAGCTTTGTTCCTGGGAGCAGCACCGCTGGCCGCACAGCCCTAAGTCGGCACTGTGTTGGTGGCGGCGTTTCCTCCGTCCCCCTTCCAGTCCAAGTAGGAGAAGAAAGCACTGGCTGCGTACACAAAGGTCACCACAGCACCAAAGAACTGCAGCGAAAGAAAATGAGAAGCGACGCGGTTACACCGCCGAAGGGACTCCAGGAAGCTGAGCAAAAGTCTGAAATTCTTATCAGCCATCATAAATCACAGTGATGTTTATATTTCTGAATTCATATCTATACCAAGCCCAGCTGTGTGATTTAGCAGGTTAAACAATGTACTAGTGGGACCTTACCTCTATAATCTAGACAGGAGTGGCTCAGAGGCAGTTTCTGATAAGAGTGTGTGTGTGTGTGTGTGTGTGTGTGTGTGAGTGAGTGAGTGAGTGTGAGTGAGTGTGAGTGAGTGTGTGTGTGTGTGTGTGAGTGAGTGAGTGAGTGTGTGTGTGTGTGTGAGTGAGTGAGTGAGTGAGTGTGTGTGTGTGAGAAATCATGTGATCAATGCTTCTGCTAAAGCTGTAAACCAGGACAGACTTTGACCTGCAGGAGGAACTGTAAAACACACTGATACAGGAGATGTTTCTGCCAATGTAAGTCATAGTCACCTGCCACTTTATAAGGCACACCTATTCAGCTGCTCATTATTGCAAATATCTAAACAGTCGATCACTTGGCAAGAACTCAGTGTGTTTAGGCGTGTAGGCCTCGCCAAGACAGCCTTTGATTGTTGGTGTCAGACAGGCTGGTTTAATTATTTCAGACATTACTGATCTGTTCCTCAAACTGTCCTCTTGAAACGAGAGTGAGTTCACTGTACTCGAATGGCCTCCACAGTCACAACATCTCCATTAAATAGAGAAGCCTTCCGATTTGGTGATGAGGAAAACCTTCATCACGGATGTGTAGCCGACGAATCTGTAGAAACTGTGATGCTGTGATAGCGTGGACGAAAAACTCGGATCAGTATTTCTAGCATCATGTGGAATCTGTGCCATGAAGAAATTAAGCTCTTCTGAAGACAAAAGGTCGTTCCCAGCACTAACAGCACTAGCGAGCGGCACACCTAATCAAATACACCGAGTGCGTTATAAAAGGCTGTTCTGTGTTCCCTGGACATTGGGCTAGTTTGTGAGATAGTGTGAGTGGTGACTTACTGCAGCAGCTGCCAAATGTCCATAGAACCATTGGAAGGGAGTCACATAAGCTGCGTTGGTGATGAAAGCAGTGAGATAGAGGACTGTGGCTGCGCTAAAATACACCATCACCTGAAACAAATGGAGAAAACGCACATTACATCAATGCACAACGACTCGCCGTCTTCCTGCCACACTGTGCCCTCTGTGGCTTCGCATCCTCGTCTTTTTCTCTTTCTGTCTTGAGCTGTTTCTGCAGCCTTGTCATCGTCACCACTTCATCAGCCTTTTTGTTGCTCTGTGAGAGTACACATTAGTATCGCTGACGTTCATGCACCGTCTCTCAGAACTGATGACCAAACATCCAAACTGCAAAATCAAGGAACCGGTAACTGTTCTAATACAACCCGTGACTAAGGGTGTAATTCCCCTGTAGACTGAACTTCAACATATTTTATTTAAAATTATGATGTCATATAGTCACATACAAATATTTCAAGTTATTAACAGTAGACTGAGGATGTAATGAGTCGCGGTTTTACAGGAAACAAAGGAATCATTACACTGTAATTAATTCAAATAATGTAATTTTAAGTTATTTACTAATCATAAATCAAACAATTTTCCTATTTTACATAAATGGTAAACGGCCTGTATTTGTATAGCGCTTTTACTAGTCCCTAAGGACCCCAAAGCACTTTACACACCCAGTCATCCACACACTGGTGGAGGCAGCTACAGGTGTAGCCACAGCTGCCCTGGGGCAGAAGCAAGGCTGCCATATAGCACCATCGGCCCTCTGGCCAACACCAGTAGGCAGTAGGTGAAGTGTCTTGCCCAAGGACACAACGACGAGACTGTCCGAGCCGGGGCTCGAACCGGCAACCTTCCGGTTACAAGGCAAACTCCCAACTCTTGAGCCACGATCATAAGTATGCTGCACTTTGAGGTGTGCAGGGTGTGTTGTGCTGGAGACACACATTATACTGTAACTGCGGTACAATTAATTCTTTGTTTCCTGGTTTTTCTAATGTAACAACTTTTAAGTAGTTAAATGCACTGAAATGATGCCCGAAGTCACAGGTGGTTTATAAAATGTTGCCAAGGAACATCTCTGTGTACGTTCTTTGACTTTATTCGTCTTTGCCCTCCGTCTCTCACATACCGTCAGGGGCCATGGGACAGCAGGCAGTGTTTGTGTGACACCAAACAGGATGACGAAGAAGAGGATGGTGGTGAGGATCCACAGAGTGATGGCGACAAACAATACCCAGCCATACGCTCCTCCCACTATAGAGGTGCCTGCTATCAGCGCCCAGTGGAGCAGCCCAAAAACCTAAATAGGTGAGAGGGAGGAAACAACAGGTGCATCAGTTTGGGGGCACGAAAAATAAAATTATGTAAACAGTTATTACATTATTAACAAACAAACAAATGGTGACTGGTGCTCATGGAGTGCTGTTCTACTCTGAGCACTCAAAGTGCTTTTTACGATGAATCCATCCAGTTAAACAGACATTCTATACCTTGGCTAACATTCACATGGGGCAACTACCGACCTTCTGATTGGTAGATAACCGCCTCTATCTGCTGAGTCACAGGTAAGCAGTAGTTATTGTGTTAGACGGAGCATGCAAGAACAACGTAATCACCTCCAGCAACTGTATCCATTATGTATGGGTTCATTTTTGAGTAAAATCTTAGAATTCATATATACCAACATTTACAGTACACATGGCTGTTGTAATCTTTCTTCAACCATCAACTTCTGAGGAAAACACCAGCTGTTAAATGCTTTGCGATGCTCAGCAGATATTCGTCAGCAGATCTCAGATTTTAGAATAATCTCGAAACCTGAGTTTACTGCACTTGACGAGGTCACTGATGCCCAGATAAGCACCACAGACTGTCTGTGACACTGAGGTGGGCAGACTGTTTTCATGGGGATCTTAAAAGTCAGTCTGACCGACTCTTGCAGGTACTGTACAAAACACACGAGGCGTCCCTCTTTCCCTGCACGCATGTCTTCCTGCTTCAGTCTCATGAGAAAGGACATGACAGTCCATTATGTATGCACAGGTCAGGTTTCACTTTTTACACACATGCATACACAGCACGCTCTCCTAAGTAGACCTTTGCAAAGCGGCTGCATCATAACGAGCTTTTCTCTTCTGAACCGAAGGAAGAGGAAATCATTTGAACTTCCTGAGTAAAACAGTAAAGTCCAGCTGTGATGCACATGTTCGACCAGGGAGTTTGCTGTGACACTGCTGTGTAAACTGTGTTTACCAAAATGAGCGAGGAACTTGAATGAAACGGAGGGCATTCACCTTTGATTTAAAACAAAAAAGCAAACAGTGTCGAGCTGGATGAAGTGGAGAGGACAACTCTGCACCATAAAGTGTTCTAAATATATCGTTTAATGGCCAAAGTTCAAACATTGCTCAAGTTAAACTGTGTGCTCTAGCACAGCAGCAGGAGTTTATGCATTATGCAAATGCATTTTATAATGGAGTGTGC